CATAGAGCGTCTACCGACGCTCTGATACTGCCAGTGGAGGTTACTAATGTGTCCTAAGGATTGTGTGTTAAGTTAACCAGACTTTGGCATAGTGAACTAGAATAGATCAGTCCATCAAGACTAACTTTTTAGCCACTGGCCTGGAAATTTGGCACTTACCACCATTAAAAAAATAAAAATGGGCGGCTAAATTATAGTCCTTGGTGTACTCTGAGATTCTTCATTATGACCGTCAATACTTGAAAGACTTTTGCTGGCTTGACTCCTACATATGTGGAACTCAATATAGCTAGTTAGTAGTAACTGCAGTAACTATCCTGAATGCGTAGGACGTGCAGGGTATTACTCACTGCTGTTTTAGCCACTTTCTATCCAGGATGATATTGTAACAACAGAGAGCTTTAAATTTTGATAGCTAGACTAGTTTTATTTAACCTGGAAAATGGCTCTAGCTGTTCTGTTGCTCCTGGGCTTGTTCAGACCGTTCCTTATGTCTCCTTCATGGGCCAGACTCTGCCAACCATTCCTATGTGGACCTCAGTCTAGTGGGAAATGATCTCAGTGGTAGTGACAGTGTTCAGTTTGTCACTGACCTGGGCACATGTAGTTATACTCAGGGTCCTCATCGTGGAGACTGGTATTTACCTAATGGAAGTAGACTGCCATTCTCTGGATATGGTGATATCTATGAGTATCGTGGAGCTAAGAGAGTTTATCTAAGCCGCCGTAACAATCCCACCTCACCAGTTGGTATCTATCGCTGTGATATTTCAACTACCCAACTGTCCATGATTATGACATCTCAGAGAGGGAAACAATCTATGTGGGACACTATACTGGCAGTGAGGTAATACTAATTGGAAGAGTCACAATAAACAAGACTGCCACTGGTTAACCAAAAAATGTGACTTTTCATGTTTGTTTAGTTCACCTTTGTCTCTTCAGTCCTTCCATTCTATCTATCACTGTGATATGTTGTAGTGAGGATGTCTCAGTGAAAGAGGGAGGCACTTTGTGTAGCTACATCAGTTTTTCTAGCTTTGGGGAACACATCCTTCACTGATGGTTTACCAGCACACACTTTCTGGGCCACTGCATTTCCAATACTCTTTGTTATCTGGTCTACCTTTCCTTGGCTACAAGCCAACAATGCTGCTAACTGTAAGTATACCTTCAGATGCTGTTTACAATTGTTTAGGTGGTGTTACAATTGCTGGAGGTGTGACATATGATTTTAATACACAAACCTTCACCTGTATCTCCACTGGTGGACCTGCTACCACTGTCACTTGGACCAGAGACTCCACCACTGTCACCCAAGGAACCCAGACTGTGTTGAATGACCCAGTGACTGCACAGTACACCCACACTCTGACTGTGACTGGGGACTGCCTGGACTATACACACGTACTGTGAACCCTCTAATGCTTCTGCTAGCATAACTCTTCCAGGTATGACCCAGTAGCTAGTATAGTTTTATAAATAATTATATAGGTCCCCCGTGGTGTAACAGCAGTCCAGAATGGTCCCAACAGTATTTAAAGCTGAGGACATGCGGTTTTTAGTGGCAGAATTTCCAAACAAGCGTTCTACTTGACTAAAGTGTGTTTCTTATGTAACAGAACAAGGATCCCCTTTGCCTCACCAGACCGTCTGTCTCCTAGCTGATGTCTTGTAAATATTGTTCACACCGTTTACTGTAACTGGTTTGCCACCATGTCGATCTTCTAGAAGTTTCTATGCACGTGGGTCATTCAGTATATAAGTCATACTGCACAATTCACTGCGTTCCCAGTCCTCACAATATCAATTACCCTATAACTGAGCTCTGTCGCGCGCAAGCTGACTTGACTTCGGCACCTCGGCAGGATTACAATTGGCGTAGTCGGCAGGATCTATGGCCGAAGAAGAAAGAGTGCGCGAGGGGGAACCGAGAGCCGAGAATCGGGAAGGCTCGCCGCAAGGGACGTACGAACGCCGGGCGCCGCAAGACCCATTCGACGGGACGTCCAACTGGGATGACTGGGCGTTTCATTTTGAGAATGTAGCCGCAGTGAATGGGTGGGATGACGCCGACAAGCTGAAGTGGCTCAGAGTCCGCCTGACTGGACGCACACAAAAGGCTCTACACCGACTCCCAGAGACGGCTACGGCGACGTACGCGGCAGCCAGCGCGGCAATGAAGGCTCGTTTTGATCCGGAGAGCCGTCACACCCGCTACCAGGCTGAATTCCAGGCACGGAGGAAGAAAAGCTCGGAAGGTTGAGCTGACAAGGCCTACCTGACACTCCAGGACGAGGCATGAGAGCAGTTAGCGATCAACGCTTTTCTGCAGCAGTTGTCACCGCCCGAAGTTGCGTTCAGCGTTCAGCAGAAGCGCCCGAACACGTTGGACGATGCAGTGGCAGCGATGATAGAGCTGGAGTCGTATGTCAGCCCACCCCCGGCAAACGTGTCCACCACGCAACCCGAGATGGCCTGCTCCCCCCCCCGTAACCGATGATAGTCAACTGAAACAGCTGACGAGAGAGCTGTTGAACATCTCACTGAACAGGTTGAACACCTGAATAATGCTGGTGCTCTCCCGCCCAGGAGGAGCAGCCGACCAGCTCGTCCATTCACTGGAGAATGCTGGAGGTGCCGACAACACGGACACATGGCAAGGAACTGCCCAAAAACCCCAGCTAGGCAGCAGAGAAACTGACTCCCCCCGGTGCTGCGGACCGACCCCCGGAGGGTGACTTTAGTCAGGTCTATTCCCCTGAACACATAACCTACACTTCACCTGTTTCGCTGCTGAGTGGATTCCGTCTTACTGCATCTCTCAATGGCGTTGGTGTGTCCATGCTGGTCGACACGGGAGCTGCAGTGTGATTACTGCGACTGGATGTCTGGAAACGGATTATGGCCCAAAACCCCGGTTCTCTGGAACCCTGCCCCGCCTTGCGACTCCTCGGCGCAGGGGGCGAGCCCCTGTCAGTGCACGGACGTGCATATACGACTCTGCTGTTGGGGACTAAAAGTTCCCCCCTCAATATGGTGGTAGTTGACCCCCTCACCTCTCCAGCAATCCTGGGTCTTGATTTTCTAATGGACCAGCAAGCGACCATCAGTTTTTCAGACCGCACCCTGCAACTCAAGGAGGAAGGATGCAAGTTTGCTCTAGAGGAACCGCCAACTTATGGTGGACCCGCTACAAAACTTACGGTTCGATCGGCAGCCACTGTAGAGGTTCCTGCAAGAAGCTCGATGCATATCCAGGGAACTGTAACCGGAGCTAAGGAAGGACTGTGGCTCCTAGAGGAGGCAGCCAAGCAGAAATTGCCGGTTGCAGTTGCACGTGGCCTTGTGCAGGTAACCTTGACTGCTGTCCCTGTAATTGTCCTCAACACTACGGAGGAGCCAGTGACCCTTTATCGGGAAACGGAGCTGGCTACCCTGCAGAGGTGGATGAACCAGCAAAGTGTGTGGTGGGGGCAGTGGACGAGGGGCAGCCGACTGCTGTGGAGCCACACAAACAGGAGATGCTCTGGAACCTCGTTGAGGGCTCATCGCCAGACCTCAGTCCAAGTGAGAAAGACTTTGTTCTATCACCTTTTGCTGTCTTATGCCGATGTAATAGCACACTCAAAGTCAGATTTGGGGAGAACAAGCATACTAAAACACCATATAGTCCACGTATAAAACGTGTTTCAAATGGCTTTCGCAGTTTCTGGAAACTCGAAAGTGTGATCCATGGTGTTGCGTTTCACGGACATGTTGGCGGCGAAAGATGATGCTGATACACCGAACGTCACACGAGTCATTCGGTAGCTTGAGTGGTTCGTCTAGGTCACTTCGCCACACGAAGCGATGTAGGTCTCGATCAGATGCATCCAGCTCCGACTGCCCGATACATCTTGCTTACGTCTGCAGTCAGTGCGATTCGATGAAGTCGGAACGGAGCAATACATCACCGAGTGAGGAGTGAATGGTAGGACCGACTAGTAGGATGTCATTCAGAGAGACGTTAGAGGAGGACTTTGCAGACGCGTCGAACACTGCTCGGAGTTTAGTTGTGGTGCTAGATTCTTCCTCACTGCGTGCATCGGCAGATAGAAGACATTCTGTGGGAGACTGTTTAGATCTGCGGTGGGAATAGTTCCGCGTGCTTCATTCGAATACTCCAGCATCGCAGAGTTAAATGTTTCAAATTCACCAGCGGCGTGCAGGGAATGTTCAAGTGACAAAACAAAATCTCCGCACAGCGTGCGACCTGACTCACCGAAGGGTGGAGCATGGGGTTTCTTTGGCAATGGGACAATAAATCTTCCATCTGGTGCACGGCGATGGCTCATCTCGAAGTGTTGCACGACAGACCTTTCTTCAGGTGAGAGATTTGTTTGTGCTTCGTGTTCTCTCGATTTCCCAAAATCTGCGTAATAGATCGTCGTCTGCGGTGACAAATGTGTGGGTGAGATAGGGCAACGGGTTCTGAAGTAGACTGGTCGGTTGAACACGCTAGTACCCATCCAAACACAGTCTCGAATGCGACACGGAGTACCTGATGGTCCACCCGCCGTCCGTGCAACAATGCTGCAGTGAATACGTCGACACCGAGGAGGATGTCAACTCTCCCAGACACCCAAAGTCTGGGTCTGCAAAAGGAATGTCGTAGAGATGGGTCCAAGAGGAGCTGAAGGCGATGGGATGAACTGGTAGATCGCACGTTACGCGTGGGACTACAATAGCCGTGACGTTGAACTTGCTATCGGTTCGAGTTGACGAAATTGTGACGTTGGTGAGTGCTTGACGAGAACTGCTGGATAGACCTGCCACGCCAGATATCGTAGTGTTCTGGTGCAGACGAGGGAGGCAGAGACTCTTGACTAAAGCTCCGAAACGAACGAGGCTGATGAGGCGGAATCTAGCAGAGCTCTGGCCGTTACGGTGGAACCATCTGGGGCTCCAACAAGAACCTTACAGGTCAATAGCAGTGAAGTTTGCCCTAAGCTGGCTGCTGTGTTGGACGAGACCTTAGATCAGGCTTAGGTAGCGGTGAAGAGGTTTGCTCTATGTGGTGGATTGTCGAGATGAAGGAGAGTATGGTGAGGTTTCTGGCATGTCTTACAATGATGCAATAACTTGCACTGTGTTCTCGAATGACCGGGCATGAGACAGTGATACAATTTCCGTTTGACTTCAACGTGCTAATTTTCTGCTCATGAGACAGTACGTCGAAGCGCGGACATGCATAGAGGGGATGCCTTTCCGTTTTGCATGCGTACAACTAGGCGACTCAGAAGCATTACGGCAAACGAGGTGACAGGTTGTATTGGAGGGAGGCTTCTTGTTCGAAGACGAGCAGAGATTCGGAGGCTGAGCTCGCAAGTCCAAAAGCTTGCTATAGTGAGGGACTATGCCGCTGCCACTCAACATAGTGCTAGAGTCAACTTCAGCTCTAGTAATCGACGTGATGAAGGGACCCGGAGCTTTCGCAGCCATGGCCTTCAGAGCACACAGATGCTGTTGGACGATGTCTGGAGACGTCGCAACTCCTTCCCATTTCCTTCTTTGGTGGAGGGGCCCTCTACATCACGCGGATGTGAGCCTGGTGTATAAGATGAGGTCGATTCGTATCGCAATTGCAAAGACTTAACGGCTTCAGAGTAATACTCACCGGAGCGCGAGAGACCTTCAATTGCTCCCTTTGCGGAACCGCCCTTGAGGGATTGACCATTTTCTCCGAGTGTAGAGAGTGCGTGCGATCGTGTACTGATATTCTGATACTGCCGTCCAAACTAGCTCCCAAAGGACCTCCAATGAGTATATTCCCATCAAATGTGGGAACTCTAACTAGGAAGCTTGAGCCCTTTGTTATCAGAGGTGGGAGTAGAGCTTCAGAGATGCCAGATGCAGAGGACAATAATTTCTTTATTGTAACACAACATCAAATACCTGGTTCTCTAATGAGTCCTGGATGTCGAAGTCATCGTGGAGTTCCATCCTGTGCAGGTCGTCGCGAGTCTTAACGAGATCCTCTGTTGATATCGTTCGTCCGTTCCTCTCGTACTGACGGAGTAGACATGTAGATGGTGGTGGATGCGTCGCAGACAACGGAAGTTATCGAGACGAGAGACTTCTGAGGTGAACTAGCTCCGAGATGCAATTCTGCGAGAAGACTCGTTTGAACGAAGGCGACGAAATAGCTATAGACTTCCTTCAACTCGAACCGTGAGTTCGCCACGAGGTCGTCGTGAGAATCGAGTGCCTCTTGCTCCTTTGCGAGGGCGTCCTCGTCATCGGTCAGGTGCGATGAGAGCGTGATGGTGAGACCGTCCAAGTCCAATAGCTTTTGAGACATACGTTGCGCTAGTTCCCACGTCTTTGGCTCCGTGTCTTCGCCTTCCAAGTCCTTGATTCGGTGCCAAGTCGAGTGAGTGAAGCGCGAGCTACACCTCTTCTTTTCTTGGCATTGGCGAGCAAACGTCCCGGGTCAACAGTAGCCTATTGAGATCGAGCACGTGGTATTCTAGATCAACGAACGGGCGACATCTCCGAGAAAGAACCATCTCAAATACGAAAGTTCGGGTTGTATCTGGCTCGAAGGACGAAATATGTTCGAGTTCTTCTCTGATAGCGATCGGATTTATCGGCGGTAAACTAAGGAGCGAGACTGCGCCATTTTCTTTCGAAAATCTCTTATTCTCTCTCTAATTTTGCTTAACTACAGATATTTCGAAATGTGTAGTGCGTATATGAGATGATACAACAACGGCCGCCTCGTAGCCTGTAGTGCAAGAATAGTCGTGGACAGAAACACACACACAACTACTGTAACCCCCGCTGCGCATGCGGGCCGAGGTTTAATGAAAAGCACTGAAGTGCAAACCCGGCGCATTGTGACGCGCAAGCGTAAGTAAACGCATGCGCGGTACCACTAATTGATGAGCTGGGTTTAGTTTTAGCTGTTAATTGGGGTCAGTCTATACTGTATATACATTGGGCCCTACCCCCATTGTAGCACTGTGGGCATGATATAAACAGGGGACCCACTACATATACATTGTGGTTACTCAATGCTAAGCCTAACACAATGACATGGAAAGAGCAGTGCTTCAACATTCCCCACTAAGAGTCCATCCCCTTAGGGTCTTGGGTGTATGGCGGGTTATTAGTGATGCAAATTTAGACAGCTACTACTCACCACAATAGGTATTCCAATATCGGGCCACTTCAGGTCAGCAGATGGGTCATCCTCATTGTTCCAGACAATTACCACTTTGTTTAGGGAAAGAATTCCTTTAAGGTGTGCAAGCCCCTCCATCAGTTCTTGTCGTTCCTTTTGTAAGTTATTATCACCACAGTAAACTGCTCAGGAGGTTACATTCACAAGAAATTTTTCTTGAAAGTTGACTCTATGGCAGCTCGTCCTTTCGCTGACTGCGACGCACTGTGAGCAATTGCGACCTCGTCTAATCTACTGAAATGCAATCCAGGATTGAAGGGGGATGAGGGTAGGAAAACAGGGGACCTGGGATATCATTCCAGAAACTCCACGAGTAGGCAGTGAAATTATTGGTGAAGGAAGGAGAGGTAATCTGCTTGTGGTGGGGGGCAGGAGTAAAGGAGCTGCTTCCCAAGAAAGTGAGGAGCAGGGGGAGGTGGGTGGAGAGTCCGTGACCTCACTATGGCTACAGCAATCTGGACAACCCTCAGTGGAGAGCTGAAGTAGGTGTACCACAAATGTCGGCCCTTGAGTCTGAAGTTCTGAATGTCACCTGAACTAACACTACGCAGGATGTGGAGGATATCAGAGTACCGGCCAGAAGGAACGATGAGTCCTGCCCGACTCCAGTCAATTACTTCGTCAAATGGGAGAACCCCTACTCCAACGACAACTGGTATAGAGCCACACATCAGAGACTCTATCAGTCTAGTATAGATACCGACTCCTGTTCCAGCGTTAGGGCCACCTGGACTTGGGACGAGGGAGAACATAGACTTGGAACAGAGCTCAAGTCGAGATTTCTGGTCTCCACACAACATCCACTGCCCCTCCTTTGCCCCCTTTGTCTTCCCGGTGGCTGGCTGTTGGCACTGGAGCTGAATGTCCACTCTCTCTTTACCTTTTAAGAGCTGCTGGAGACTTCTGATGTGTTCTGGAGTGATAGCACCAGGGCCTGGGTGTTGATGTGGACAGTGTTCTCCGTGGAAGTGGATAAAAGTTTCTCGGGATACAGGAAGGAGAGGGGATAGCAAATCCATCGAGTCTGCCTCTGCCGTCCTGAGTGGAGGGAGAAGGATGTCAAAGCCTGTACTGAACAGCTTGGCTGGTGAGATGACACTCCGTGCAATGATAGCCTTTCCTGTTGAAACACCTTCCAACATGCTGCGGCCAGGGCTCTGGTCAGTGGACAGCTCAACCAGAACGTGGTTTTCGCCATATGCCCCCCACTGTGCCAGGGAGTGAATTTTTTTCTCCAGGTGGCCAACGTTTTCTCTTTCACTTTCTCTGTTCCAAAGAATACTGAAAAACACACATGCTTTAGTAGGGTCAGAGGTGTATGAACCTGTCTCCTTCAAGACATCTACTAAAAGTTGTGGAGAAAATGGATTTTCATTCGAGGAAGACGTAAGCAGATCATCATACACGTAGGTGGCGAATGGGTGAGTGAATGGACATTTCTCTAGGTTGAAACAGATATCAAATGTACAGGGGTTCCATGTACTGTTGGAACGGAGATCATCCTTTCCTGAGTGGGAAGGCACCATCAGGCTGCCTTCGAGAGCGATGCTGTTTGTCTCAAGAGCGACTCCTTCCTGAACATCGTGTTCATCCACCTTTCTCTGGTCCTGGTTATTATCAATCCTAGTCACTTCACCCGTGAAGCGACTCCTTGTTGCGTACACAAAAAGCGCAATAAGTACAATGGATGCAGGGACACAAGTTACCAGCAGCCTCAAGGGTTTCCCCATAGCGAGGCAGACAACGACTCTGATCACTGCACCACGCACTAGTCTGGCGGATCAATTGGCGATTGTCCGCCCCTTTTAGATTCAGCGCGCAAATGTTTGGGCGTGGCACTCGGAAGTCATGTGACTACAAAGGAACCAGCACGTGCCGTGCGCGTTAGCCGCATGTGGATATCCGAGTAACTACACCACGTCTTCCAACCACGCCAGGAGCTAATCCAAGAGCAGATCCACAAGAGCATTGGTGACACCTTTACCAGTTACAGGTATAATGAAATGTCGGTGTGTAAAAACCTGAGTAATATTAAGGCTCGCTCCGCTCGCCCAAAGAATGCCAAGCATTTCCACTAGTAAGAAGCGCGTAATATTAACGCATGCGCACTAAGACGACGACGGTGCGTCGTATATAGATAGAAAATTCGAGCCGAAGACACGACTAGGTGGGCTCGCTCCGCTCGCCCAATAATAGACCCAGCCCATCAATTAGCGGTACCGCGCATGCGCAATTCGCCGAGGGTTTGCACTTAATTATAGGCAGTAACAGTTTTTGTAAATAATTACCACTCTGATAACAAGCGACGAACATAACATTTTTTCTATAGTGACGCATAGTTAGAGCATTAGCCACACATACAAAGTAAGCAGGAGAAATAGTGATTCTCTTCTTACTGGTGGGCCGTGGCACGGTATGCCGCTTTCAAAACATGAATAGAAGAAATCACTGTTGTCGACCTTGAAAGATAGTTTGTTTTAAGAAACCATGAATACACACATACACACATTAATACAGTTTACATAGGCATAGGTAAACATAGTTAAAACATGCACAAAGAAGGGTGGGGCTCAGGTGCTGCAGCCTGAAAAGGGGTAAGCTCTACGGAAAAGACCAGTCTGCGCACACACGGGAGCACACTAGGCAAACTTCAAGCTACAAGCTACAATGGCTTCAAGGCGTCCACCCGCTCTCTGGCGGATAGGAAAGCTCCCGGTTGCAGAGATCAAGGAACGGTTGCAGGCAGCTTCTCTATCGACCACGGGCACGAAACAGACGCTTGCGAAACGCCTCCACGTCCACCTGCAGTCGCTGGCGACGGCGTCAGCGTTGGAGACGGCCTCGGGCCGGGACTCTGCGACAACCTCTGGCCAAGAGTCTGCGACGGCCTCGGATCAAGAGTCTGCGATGGCCTCGGGCCACCACCGTTCTTCGAGCTCCCTCCCTGCAGGCGAGAACGAACCCAACCGCTCACACCGCAGCCGCCGGCAAGGACATCGCTCTAAACGACGGTCGCGCGAGCGCGACGGCCGGCCCTCACACCACAGCTCACGGAGACGGTCCCGCTCTCCACCTCCCCCGGTTCGGCGACGGTCAGATACCACCTCATCCGACGGCTCTGCCCCGTCATCCGCCAGCAGCCACTCCAGCCGTTCTTGCTCAAGGAACGAAAGCCCGCAGCCACCGTCACCGCCGGCTTCACCGTCGCGGACGACAAGGCCGACATCGCGCGGCGATATCGGCTTCGCGGTCCCGCTCGCGGAGCGGTCGTACTTCCAGCAGCAAGAGGCGCAGCGGCCGTGATCCCCGCCGCCACCGCCACCGCCATCACTCTGACCACCCTCAGGGAGGGAACCTACCACCCATCCCACGGAGGCTAAAACGCAGGATCAGACGTGGTGAGTTTGTAGAGCTACATACACTATTGCACGCCAACCTCACGAAGACCAGCGCGCAGACCCGTGGCCACACGCGCAGACGTTCTACCAACGAGTCGGCAGACCCGGCTCGCTCGCCGGCTGCAGTCACTGACCTGCAGAGCTGGACAGAAGCCTGGAGCGTACTCGCTGCTGTACTTACTTCTTTCTACCCGCACCTAGCCCCCCGCCTCTTTTCATACCAGCACTTCATTACTCTGAAGAGCAGATCTTTTCAGCCTGCGGCATGGCTGCGGTATGACACTGAGTTCCGACTCAAGCTAGCGGCAAACGAGAGCTGGCACTTCGAAGCCGTAGACACGGAACTGTGGGCATCGTGCTTGACTCCATGTTTATTTTTTCCCCGTTGTTATACAACATAATGGCACTCGCCAACATGTATGCAAGAAAGTCGGCAACAAGTATGTCATACGCACAGCAGCCGGGCTAGGCCTTGCCACGGTCTAACAGTTGCCAACCTCAGCCATTTATTTTTCTAACACAGGCTAGCTGTATCAGTTGGTGCGCTTAGAGCCACGCTGGACTGGATAGACACCCTCCGGGTATCTTCATCCCTGATTATGGACATTGGCTTTTTCCACGATGGACATTGGCTTTTTCCATGCTAGCTATATCTCTCGAATGCAGTCGTTGTCAGGAATATCAACTTTTTTTAAATTTTGTACCCCTTTTAGATTAATAGGCCGCTTGCACTGGGCAAATTTTGAACTGCCAAACTGCTGGTTTGATCAAGGATTGCTTGGTGGGAGTTCATGTGCTCTGGCCTATCATGCACTACCAGATAGAAGACATTTCCTGCCACCTGACCAGTAGTGGATAGGGCTAAGTGCCAGGTACTTGACAGGTAGTTAGCAGAAGACCTAACCTTGACCTTTTATATCTAATGCAGACCACCTATAATAACCTGCACATCACATATCCTTAAGACTGTCCCCAAATGTGTTCATGATCTATCAGATCATCTTGCGCATCACATATCCCTGTCAATTCACATGATTAACAAAAGAATGAAATTATCCATTGTTCAGTATGTTCACTGCTGGATCACTGCCCAGCTGGGAAACCCACGGGGAGCAGGTCTTGATGAGATTGAATCACTGTATATGCGTGGCTGTGTTTGACGACTTGGTTGTTCGGTCTTTCGGGATGCACGGGCAGTGTCGAGTCGTTAAAAAAAGCTGGACACCCTCTCACTCCTCCAGCGAAGCTTTTTCACCATAAAATCAGCACGCCCATCTTCTTCTCCCTCTTCGTCGTCGTTTTGCCTTTGTTTAAACACACTGCTGCTGCAATTATCGTACTGCGCAAAGTAAACACTCACGAACATGTACTTACTGCAGTAGATTCAACTTACTGTGTTGTCAGTCACCTAGGGCGAAGTTGGTCATGCTGTGCTAAATGGCAGAAGTTACTTATCACATGTGTAAATACACACGCTTACACTCGAGGTTTACTTACACAGCAAAATCTATCAGGGGTTGCCTCCTGGACCGGCACAGGAGAACCCCAAGGAGACTAGGATTGAGATAGATAGAGGTCTGTACACTCAAGGTCTCAATTTTACCGTTCAGCTAGGGGCTCACGCTCGGCTTGCACGGGCGAGTATTCCGGCAACAGCCTCCTGCATCTAGAAGAGGAGTAACCAGGGGACACTTATATCTAGATACCCAACAGTCTTACGTTCACGAAGGCTCTTCCACTCCAGGAGAGATCGAGTCTTCTTCCTTCTCTCTGCATGGCAAGATTCAAACTCAGACTGGCAAAAATCGAACGATATTTTTACGCATGCGCGTAAGACTATGGCGGTATTCTGCCGGGAAAAGGCGGTTCAGCCAGAGAGACGGGCTGATTCTTGACTCCTAGTGCTGGTGAGTTTTGGTCTCTGTATCGTAAATCCCGGCGAAGAGGTTTTGTTGCTCCCTATAGAAATGCCTTGCAGGTTTGAATGTAGGGAGATGATGTGTCCCTCATGTCGTGGTCTTTTGGAGTGCCCTGGCTGTCTCTGATATGACTTTGTGGCTACCTGTCGTCTGTAGGGGGCTTGTCTGTCCTGCTGTCAGTCTGTATGTTGGGCTTTGTGCCGTACGGCTGTCAGTCTGATATGTTGGGCTTGTGGCCGTGCGGCTGTCAGTCTGATATGTTGGGCTTTGTGGCGTGCGGCTGTCAGTCTGATATGTTGGGCTTTGTGGCCGTATGGCTGTCAGTCTGATATGTTGGGCTTTGTGGCTGTATGGCTGTCAGTCTGATATGTTGGGCTTTGTGGCTGTACGGCTGTCAGTCTTGTATGTTGGGCTTATGTGGCTGTATGGTTGTAGTGTTCACAATATTTACTCTTATGCTTTGTTGCTCATTGTGCTATCCTCTATTACATGTTTTTGAGGACGACCAAGCATGGAGATGAAGAGAAAGAAGCGCAAAAGACAGAAGAGATAACGAAAAACAAGAAGAGTTGAAATACATGGGTTGTGTTAAAGCATAGTGATGTCTCATTAGATCGGCTATGGGAACATCTCACAATGCTGACAATATATGTAGTGTGTGATGTGTGTGACTGTTGCATTTATCATGACATCATTTGATTCGTTGTATAGTGCACCTATCAGCAACAAAGGAAATACTTCAAATTTCCAGTGAATATCATGTCTAGGATAGACACCCACCTATCCCTGTGCCATCATGCTATGTGAAACTACAGCTATCCATACCAAAGGAAATACTAGAGTTTAGTTCAACTGACTACTACCTATCAACTGCTGGTCAGAACTAACAAACTACAGCTATCCATACCAAAGGAAATACTAGAGTTTAGTTCAACTGACTACTACCTATCAACTGCTGGTCAGAACTAACAAACTACAGCTATCCATACCAAAGGAAATACTAGAGTTTAGTTCAACTGACCACTACCTATCAACTGCTGGTCGGATACTACCGAACTATCCTTATACAATTATGCACCTATGATCAGATAGGATAGTTGCAAATTTGTCCAGTGAATTGATAGCCTTTTGTGCAAGAATAGCCGAAGACACACACTAAGCATGTACTGTAACCCTCACTCAGCATGCACACTGAGGGTTAATGATACTACGTAGTTATTGAATGAAAAGGGAGAAGTGCCCCACCTTCCTACATGCCATGCGTGTATAATGACATAATTATGGTAGCACACATTAATCAAAAGAAGGGGATAAGTTACGTATCATAAATCTCTGCTAGTTATAGCTACAAAACTCTCAAAGGCCTTTCAAATAGAAACTCACTTGGAAAATAGGTACAAACAGAGGGAGGGA